ACAACAATACACTCGAATGAAATATGATTACCTCTTCTCAACGACGTACTTAAAGTCTACTAATCTTCATCATAGGGAAGTAAAAGGCAAGCCAATGATATATAGTTTAACTATATATGAATGGAAGTTCAATGACAAGTAAATGGTATACGAACACGTACGAAATGAGGTCTTCTCAGCGACTTATCCTATTGGTCTTCATCATCTGGAAGTGAAAGACATGCCAAGGCTTTCTCTCTGACCGATTTGGGAATGTGCACTGCATTTTTCAAATGCAACGTCCTTGATGACCAGCTCCACAAAACACAGTTCATGTGCTGCCACTGCTGTGTTGTTGTGTTGTCTTTCTTCCATATTTTCTTCCATGCATTTGCATATTGCAGAGAAAGATTTTTGACGACAGGTTGTGACACCCAATATTCAATAAAAACATGATTGAAAGCAGGCAACTTCCTATCGTTGTCAATATTAGAAATGACTCTACTCATCCACACGGGAACTCCCTGATCGATATCATCTTGCGAAGGACACAAAAGAACAAATTGACCCTTTTCGACATTCACAACCGGGTCGAGCTCTGCTTTTGGACGCTCATTGGCTGACCCAACAAACAACGGCTCCTTATTCTCATTGCTCTGCACGAGGAAGGCAATATCAATATCCTTAGCATCGTCCTTCGTAATTTTGTCCCGCGAGGGACAAAAGTCAGCCTTGAGTGATGTTTTTGCAAAGCCAGACCCATAATTTTGCTCGATTGTGTTCAGGAAAGTTTTCTAGTGTGAAAGAGCACTCTCCTTTGAGAAGCTAACCTCATCTTTCATTCCCAACCACTCGTGCCGCTTGTTTTCCAGCCACTCAACAAACGTCTTCACGCCTTCAATTCCTGATTTGAAATCCGAATTCTTATCCTTAGCGGGTTGACCACGTGATGTTTCTGTAATAGGTCGAATAGGTGACGAGAGAACAGGTGAAGGTTCGAATGGCCATTCGGGTCCACCATATGCTTTATTTTCATCTCGTTAAAGCAATAGACCGGAGAAGACCAGTTCGAAAAAGTGCAATACTCTTTCCACTGAAACACAGGATTGTCATCCTCCATATGAAACCTAAATAAATGTGGCTTTGTATGACTGGTCAGTTTGTTGACCAGAAAGGGATTAACAGCTCCCCGCCAGTCAGCAATTTCATCCATAAATGTGCACAAAGGACGCTCTTTTTGGGAACTGGCAACGAGTTTGAACAGGTCGAGCATGGTATAAGCATCATGCATTTTCAGTTTGTGAGACAAATGACTGAAAATGGCATCAACGTCCGTATGTGTATGCCCTACCAACATAAAACCGAATTCGACTTCTTTGAAAAAGCCAAATTTAACCAAAATTGCGGCCAGAGACAAAACGTATTTGTTTTTGTTTTCTCTCCAGCAATTGTCGGCTTGTATCCTCAATTTAGGAGGTAAGTCGCTTGTCGCCTGTATGTCACGCAAGACTTTCATAATGGATGACACCACAACATTGGAATCATGTGGATAGCAAGGGTACCATGTGTGAACATGCACCGATGGTGAACGGCCGTGTGCGACAATAACTGTTAAATTTGTTTTCATCATTGGAATATTTGCGAATGCCTTCGACTTGTTTTCTCTGCCAAAGTGTGGAATACTCGTCTTGCTTTGGTCCATACCGTCAATAATGATGCATAAATTATTGGAACCTGGTCTCTTTGACTCATCCTTCCACACCTCATAAGCAACACGGTGTTGAAGCTGCAAGTCCAAGTGTTTGTCGCGTTCCGAAACGAAATAATCACGCACACGTACGAACTTCGCAAAATGGATAGATTCTTTGAACTCAACGAACTTCTCGCATTTCGCAAAGTTTTGATCAACTTCATGAAATTTCACATGCCAGAAGTGTGTTCTCCACATGTTATAGAAAACTTGGAGAGAAACAGAAGGGACACCCAGATTGTCAAACTGTGACTTCAATAACTTATAAATGTCAACCTTGTTATAGCAAGCAAGCAATCTCAAAACCACTCGTGATTCTCCATCTTTGATCCTCATGTCATTGGGCATAGAATCTTCATTGTCACGCACAAAGGAGCTTAGTTTGCCGAACATCGTCGCATATGTTGCAGATGTGCGTCTGAGTCCAGTGCCACCATGCTCCGGCATAATGTAACCTTTTGACAAAGTCGCCCTCTTTTTCAAAAATGTATTCCTGCACACAACCAATGCGAAACACCATGCACTAATGCACACCTTTCTTTTCCCCACAATAGGTTGCACAATCTCTTTCTCATCTTCCACGAAGGTGAACCTCTTTAACGTTTCAACCCACCATGCATCTCTACTTTTGTGATCCTTACAGTAATATGCACTCCAGACAGCTTTGATGTCTTCCATGGTCATGCGAGCGCAACAATCTTGTTTACAACAAACTTGTTTATGCACATTCGCCAGTGCTTTTTTGGTGAGCTTTCTCTGAGCTGTTTACAGAATCTTCTTTGACCGAGGCATTCTGACTCGGAAAGTATAAGGACGCTTCTCCGACGACAATCGTTTTGGAAAAATGTCATCAAAATCAGAGATGACATCAGAACTCTCCATACCGTTGCGACAGTAGTGATCAGTGTCATCATCATCGCAAGGTTGTGGATGATCAATTTTGTCTGGAGAACTGTTGGCGTCAGATGACATCGAAGCACCAGATATCGAACCGTCTTCATCACTCTCACCAAACAGAAGGCCTGTGCCCTCGAAATCTCGTAGCGAACTTCTCGCCACCCACATGATACGATCTGCATCGGATGTGTTCCTGTCACCGGAGGCGGCCCTACCCTGACCTTCCGAACCTTCTGCATTAGAGGTTTTCACTGGTCCGCCCAAGGCTGGAGATGCACTTTCGCATGTGGTTTCTTCACACGCAACTATCCGGGACCTTTTATGATCAGGAGATTCTGGAGTTATTTGAACGTCTTGCGAAAACATTGGCAGGTCCGGCGGAGGAAGCTCATCATTAGGCAGTATATTAGATGCCACACAGTCTATGCTTTCCAAAGTTGTGCTGACAGCTTGCCGCGGTGCATGCCCACCACAAGCCATTTAAAACGTTTCTGCGATGACAAAACAGTGGACCACTGACACAAGACATGCATATCAGTAACAAATCCGCAACTAGATGGATCACATGCGGTATATGTAGAGTGCAACACATGTGGTTCAGCGCGGCCACTGCTAGCCACACACAACCGATGTAAGGCCCGTGAATGCGGAAAAAAATACAGTCTTCAACAGAAGCGATGCACGAGAGACACGGCGACTGGCTGTCGTGTTGAACGCGATGATCTCCTGCCGCGGTCGTGTTGAACACGACGACGCATCATCGCATTGCACAACACGACAGGCGCACACTGCGAGAGCCACCGTCACCGTATTCTCACGACAGCGCGGTCATGTTCAACATGCCGGCGCTCAACCGTTGTCGTGTCGCGATCGATGCCCGTGTCTGTATGACAGCCACAACCATCTGCCGCCGTCGTGTTGAAGATTACGATGAGCGACCGCCTGCTTGTTGAACGCGATGGTGCTTCCATGGTGAACATGTCCGCGGTCCACCGTCGCCTGTTGAACATTACCACCGGCACGGCGGCGATTCAACGCAGTCGATTTCAACACTACGAGAGCGACCGTCATCCCATTGAACTCGACGGCGGGGTCGGGGGGTGCCACCTCGGTCGTGTTCGACACGATGACAACGACCGTCATCGTGTTGAACACGACGACGGGGTCGTGCTCAACACATAGTGTACATGCCCGCGCTCGACCGTCATCGTATTGAACACGACCTGCGGTCGTGTTCGACACGAGGACAACGACCGTCATAGCTTGAACACGACGGCGGGGTCGGGTGGTGCCACCACGGTCATGTTCGACACGATGACAGCGACCGTCATCGGTTTGAACACGACGGTGGGGTCGTGTTCAGAACGTGTTGTACATGAATTGCTGCTATAAGGTCTCTGTCGTGTTCGACACGATGACGGGTTGAGCGCGAGCGTGCATGCCACGTGCTGAACATGATCCCACCGTGTTCAATCCGATGATGGTCGCTGTCACCGAGTCGAACACGACCGTGGGGTTGTGGGCTGCCACTGCGGTCATGTTCGATAAGATGACAGTGACCGTCATCGGGTTGAACACGACAGTGAGGTCGGGGGGTGCCACCGCGGTCATGTTCGACTAGGTGACAGCGACCATCATCGGATTGAACACGACGGTGGGGTCATGTTCAGCACGTGGTGTACACGCCCGCGCTCAACCCGTCATCGTGTCGAACACGACGGTCGTCGTGTTGGACTCGATGATGGACGGCTCTGTGAACTGCGGGAGAGATTTTGTTGACGTCCTGAAAAACCACAAATGACGAATAGCAGTAGCTGATGGGCGGGATTGGGGGGTTGGCGGGGGGGGGGGGG